TGTGTGTGTGTGTGATGGTGTGTGTGTGTGTGTGTGTGTTTAAAGCTAAAAAAGACAGATAAAAAACAGACTTACTCGAAACTTTTAAAGAAAAATAAATTTTTCTCTCCAAGTGGTAGTAGGAAACTTCTGTTTTTAACAAAAGCAATGATTCATTTCTTTTAAAGAGGGTTCTGTGGACAGTGATACCATTAGTTAGAGACCATTTGTGGTAGATATTAAGTGTGTGTGTGCGGGGGGCTCAGAGGGTGATGTCATCACTGGGTAGTGCAAAGCTTTGCTTAACTCCCAATTGCACTGTATTGTATTGCATTGCATCACTCCGTGAATTGTCTTTTAAAAAAAAATTGTAGAATTGAATTTACTGGATATAAACATAACAGAAGCTATTTTCTCTAAATGTATTCAAAGTTAACAAAAATGCTATTTAGCTAAATGGAAAGTTTGTTTTACTATTGGGAACTGGCAGATTAGCGGAACCGTTCCCACCACTGATGTGTCTTGTCCATGTCAGGTTATCTGGAAGTTTATGGAAGATGTAACTGTCATCAAGAACAATCACAACCCGGGCCAAGCATAAACCCTGGATTTCAACAGAGGTGCATACCATGCTGAAAGCACAGATTGCCACTTTTAAATTGTGCTCTATAAATAAATATGACTTGACTTGACTTGACTTAAATCTGGTGACTAGCCAGCTCTAAAAACAGCTAGAGCTAACCTTAACCATGCAATAAGACGCAAAATGTGCATATGGAGAGAGAATCCAGGGTTTCCTCCAGGACATTGCAAACACTCAGAGGCTGTGGTAGGACACCCCGAGTTAACAGACTACAAGGCTCCTCAAATAAATTGTAAAGATGACATGGCTTTCCTTGAACTAAATTATAATTTTCGCAAGTTTGCGGTACTGAACTCAGCTACAGTGAGGAAATCAGAGCCCAAACCAGGTGAGAAGTCACTTTCTTTAGAAACCATTGATGACTGCATGGGCCCTGAATAACATCAACGTACAAAAGGCAGATGGGCCAAATGGGATACCAGGGTACCTGCTCAGGAAACACACTGATTAGCTGGCCTCAGTTCTGACAGACATCTTCAACACCTCCCTGAACCAGACCATTTTCCCCTCACATTTCAAGACAGGCTCCATCATATCATTACCCAGAAAGTCCACAATAATCTGCCTGAATGATTACTGCACCATTGCATTGACTCCTATAATGATGGTGTGGCTCATAAAACAGCATATGGTCTACCAACTTCCTTCATGTTTTGGCCCAGGCCAGTTTGCTTATCACCTGAACTGTTTCACAGAGGACATTAGTTCTTCTTCCCTCTCAGTCTTCAACATTTGGAAGAGAGGAACACCTTTGTGTGGATACTGTTTATAGATTTCAGTTTGGCTTTTAATACAATAATCCCCCAGTATCTAGTAAGCAAACTGGCACCCCTCAGTTTTGACTGCACACTCTGTAACTGGATTTTGGATTTCCCAAGTGAAATGCCTCAGTCTGTCCATGTGAGAACAAGACAATCTCAGTAATCACGTTGAGTCACGGCTCCCCTCAGGGTTCTGTCCTGAGTTCTCTACTCTTCACTCTCACAGATGCCTTGACCAGTCACCAGGTGCACTACCAATAACATAATCAAATATACTGATGATTTATAGTAGTTGGCCTGATCAGGAACATCCAAGTGAAGCAGCTGGTGAACTGCTGCAGCAGAAACTTTGTATGTATGTATGTTTTATTTATTCATTTCATTTCATCCAAACAACAAATGTAATACAATTTAAAGAAAAGAAAAAAGATATACAATCACAGAAATAAAATGAAAGGCAGCAGAAGAAGAATGAGTTCTTATAATATCTGCCCCTTGTCCCCAAAATATATTCCAAACAAAATTACTATACAAAAGCACTTTCTCCTGAATGTGGACAAAACAAAGAATAACACTGTTGACTTCAGAATGAAACAGCCTATTCAAACTCTGCTGATGATCAACAGCTCAGCAGAAGAGGTGGTGGACCGCACCAAGTTTTTGGTACATCATGTACAATTTAACCAGGTCCAAAACACAATATATCTGGTCAATAAGCACATCAACATTTGTACTTTCTTCTCGGGATAAGGAAATCAAAAATCCCCCTAAGCATTTTTTTTTTTAGATTTTTACAGATTTTTACAATGATAATAGTTTTTCTGTCTGCCTGTCTGCAATATAAAGAAAATAAAGCATATCTAGCATGTACAGTACATAGGCAAAATGATGCATTTATGCCTCCAAAGTTATGAACCTACTTTTGTAAAAAGAAGTTATGTTTTAAGTCACATGACAATCTCAACTGAATCCAACGTTTTAAACAGACAAATTAGTGCAGGATGTGTGAAGAAATTATGTTCAGGGCTCTTGTTAGTTTAGTTTCTGCAACTTGTCTACCTGGTGAAAATCGTAATAAATGTTTAACTTTCATTTCAGTTTATAGCAATACATTTGACTATATCATAAGAGACCCCCCAAATAATTGCTTCTAAAAGCTCCCTCTTTACTGACACACTCAATAATGAGGTGGAATTTCTCCCCTTGCGTCATGCTGCTTTATTTGAGCCAGAACTAACTCGCTTTAAAAGAGCTGAAAAGAAAATTAAGCATAGCGTAACTTTCTATTTTATTAGGTCTGTCTGTCTGAATCAGCAGGGAAGACAACTACTAGATGTTGTAAAATATAAAGCACCAACAAACAAGGAGGTATTCATTTCCAGAAGACTGCTAAGTAGACAACTAGCTTGTAAACTGCAGGGTACTTAATGCTTTGTGGCTTTATCATTAGCTTTAGAAACCCTTAAATGTACTGGGGGTATCTCCTCATCAAGTTTTACACACAGACATGCAGCTACCGCTTGGATACATTTACAATGATGTCAGAAAACCCCATTTTTAACTGGGGTGCTCACATTTTTGATGACTGAATCATATGTTCTACCCTACCTTTTGCTCCTGGTAAGAGGGAATTGGTGCAAACTTCTGTAGATGCAAAGACGTAGCTGAGCATAGTAAGAAACACACATAGCACCAACAGCCGAAACATTCCCAAACAGTCACAGGTCGGTGCAGACAATCTTGATGTTTTGGTATACTTTAAAGGACGAATGATATGCCAAGACAGGACCGTATCCAGGATAGAGCGTAGCATCAAGAGAAAATGTTCTTCACAATGTCTAAGGAAAAAGTTGGACTTTTGTTTATAGAAGAAACAGACGCTCTGAAACACACACACAGACACACTTGTGTATAGAGTCTTATCAGTGACTTGTCAAAATGTCAAACAACACAGAGCAGGCTTCTGCATTCTTTTACACATCATGCCCTTTAACTTTTAAATTGTTAAATATGAGTCAAATTTTCGTACTATACCAAATTACCAAAGAGAAATGAGTACATGTATATTTGATAACTTGTACTAATTTATATTTTATTTCATATAAAGCACTTCTATTTGTACAAACTCATACTCACAGAATCATTCCATCATTTTGTTCCTCAGTGACAGGATTCAGTGTCTTGCCCAGGGACACTTTGGCATGTGACTGCTGGTGGAATCGAACCCCCAACTCTTGCATTGGAGGACGACTGCTCTAACCACTCAGCCACAGCCGCCCAATCACAGTGTAGAGTATAGTTTACATGCAGGAAAGAGATCAGGTTGTCTAAAACAAGCTTATTTTACAGAAACCCGATCACACTATCTGACGTACTTGAGACCAGTACTACTGTACCAGACACAAACCCCAAACATACATCTATGCTAAAACTGTTCAAAATTTGATGTGCAGGACATAAAAAATAAATAAATAAATAAATAAAAAACTTAATTATAAAGAGACTAGGCAAATGTTTAATGTTCAGGTTCATAGGGCATGTAATTCCATTTTTTCTATCCTGAACTGCTTTATCTTGTGGTAGAGCCTATTTATCTTTGGCTGGAAACAAGATACACTTAGAACTGCAAGTCTTATAAACCACAAACACAGCACATATTTATGTACCCACTCTCCTCCAGCTTCGTTTAGAATCATCAGTTTAAAACTAGAGAAAGCCCACATGGACAAGCAAAGACACAAAGTTCTTGCAGAAAGACCTGCAAAGTTTGCATTCAAACTACAGACCATAACACATACATATACACATGTGATTTCAATTACTGAACTTGAATGTTAAGATTTGCTTAAGATAACAAAAACTGTATGTTTTATGTCTTAGATCCTTATATACAGTTTCTTTATATACTTTAAATTTTTGCTGTTTTTGTTTGTAACTGGGACCTTGAGTATGCAAGTTCGTTCCACCTCATGTACCACATGTGATGTGAATGACAATAAAGAACCTTGACCTTGAACTTTGAACCTTACAGACTTCGATTCTCCAATAACTTTTTTGATGTATAGGTTACGAAGAGTTTACTCACGTTTGGAGTATGTCTTTTTCATGTAAGCTTTTTTTTTAACTGTACAAAATTGATACATGATATTAACTTTATCAAACATTTCCAAGAAACTTGACCCTTCCTTTAACATTAAAATGAAACAAACATATCAAATAGCTAATCTCTTTCTTTGAGTCAAAGAGAGAAACTGAAAGGGAGCTTTTTTTTTCATGCAACCTTTATTTAGACAGGTTAATCCCATTGAGCCTCGGGGACTCATTTACAAGAGAGGCCTGAATTTTAACAAAGAGTGATGAGAACAGTGGACAACAATGATAATAATAGACAATCACAAAAGAGGCATACCATTTTTTTTAAACAAATCAAAACAAAATAGCAACCAAAAGTCTTATGTATTCACTTGCTGTCACAACAGCCTTTTATTTTTATAAAAAAATAGATTTCCATCAAATCTTTGACTCTGTGTTTCCAGACTGCACTCTTGAGTTCCATTTTCAACTAATCCTGGCATACTCTGGTTATCTGCCTCCAGTATAAAAAAAATATACAGAAAATGGTTTAGGAGAATAAAAAAAGATAATAGATAAAGGGACTAAACCTTAGTCAGACTGAAAGACAAAAAACTGAGCAGAGACAAGAGAGTGATACTGAGTTTTTCTAAACCCTGTTGAGGCAGATGAGAGAATTTCTTCTTTCAAGAAAATTCGTATGGAGGGCAATCGTTTGTGCAATTCTTCAAAGCATAGGTGCATGAGGAGCAGATCATAGCAAGACACTAATGACTGGGGAAAATACAGGAATATTTATTTAAATATTGTTGTTCCTTGAGGACAAAATGTACAAGAATATCTGTTTGAAAAGCTGCCATTTGGAGCTAAGAAATGAAAGATTTGCTGCTGTTACTATGGTATAAAGATCACAAAGTTCACTCATATAAAGTTTTTTTTTTAATGACACAAATCATTCAGATAAATACAATACTGAGAAAGAAAAAACAAAAATGTATTTCTACTAAAAGCCAAGTTGTAAAGCTGCACCCTGTGACTAATTCTCTTTTGGATGAGACATAATCATTTATTTCTTGCTGAATGGGATGTTTGTTTCTTTTGGTTTCTTGTTTGAAATGCGATTTAAACCACACACACATGCATTTGAAATTAACCAAGACTCCACACACTTGGTATTGGTGACAGGACTTAACACAAGTTGTATTTTTTATGTGTGTGTGTGGGGGGGGGGGGGGGGGGGATTCAAGCTCATGTTGCTTTGTTGATGCAAGAGCAGTGCACTTTGCGACAAAACATTTTTATTGCTGTGAAGTTCAAATTTTTAGAAATTAGGGTTATGAACAGTCATTACTTGTTTCAGATATTTCTTAGAAAAATCTTAATTTGACAAATTAAAAGTTAGGCCTGACCCAGACTGACTAGCTAAAGTCTAGGCTGAGCCAAACTAAAGTTTGTTTTATATTATTTACATCACTGCCATTGTCACAGTACATAGTTATTCTCGTAGGCAAAAACTTCTATTTCTTCTGCTTCTATTTGCACTTGAAAATTAATTCATTCAATGTTTATTTAGACAGGTTAATCCCAATGAGCCTCGGGACTAATTTACAAGAGAGACCTGGATACGCACAGAATACCATTTTACTGCACCAATGAGATCAAAACCAAAAACGTTGTAGTTTATGCTGAGATTACTTTCAGCTTTTCTGCCTTTGTGTTGACTTTTTGACAAAAAGTAGTGAAAATAAATACTTTTATTTATTTATTAGTTATTATTTCATGCTAATTTTAACTACAACTTTTAGCGAGGATATTCAAGAGTCATCAGAGCATAGGTATGTGGCGGTGAATTCGATTCCTTGAAATATGTTGCAATGTTGTGAACTCAAGTGCTGACAAAGGTCCTTTGTTTTTTCTGTGGCTTTCTTTTCTCCAATCTTTGCAATGTTAGAGCATATTTCCTCTTTGTAGTTTTTTTAAGTGTTTCTGAGTCAAAGTCTAAATGTTGTGGTGGTCTAGATCCATTGTTAGTGATTTATATTTGCATGTGTGGCTCAAGCATGTACAGAAGAAAGCCAACACATGTGCTGAAGCTTCTCAAAGTTGGCTTCAAAAAGCAAAGCGCACTACAAATCTTGACGTCATTGCATGGTGGACCAAAAAGTAAAGGGCATTACATTTATGAGATTGCAGATTTACAGTACTCACTACCATGTAGCTTAGTTGTGCTCCATTGTCTTCTGAATGTCTTCACCAGCATTTGTGATAAAAAAAAAATTAGAATGAAACATTGAGAAATAAACAAGAGTTCTAAATGCTCCATTTTTCTCAAAAGGTTCATGTTCACAAATTCAACAACCTGAGTGTATCTCAAGTTGAACTATAATCTTTCTGGTTTTGGTCTTATTGGTGCACTGACATATGGACTATAGAATTCTGTGGCCAACTTTAAAAAATAAAGCAATTTTTTTTAGATGTTTCATAAAAGTGAGAGAATTTGACTTGTGCTTTATTTTTTTTATTCAATCTTTCAGTTTGTCCACTACTTGCAACATTTGGGAAAGTATAGTGTTTGTAGTGGTAACACCCACCCCCCCCCCCCCCCCCCCACACACACACACACACACACACATTCGACCCTGTTATCCTGACGGCTAATTGTTTGCATGTGGCTCTCTAATTAAAAGAGTGATTCACACTCCTGGATTGAGGTTGACTTCATACTGAAAACCACAAAACAACTCTGTTTTTTTTTTTCCACTGTTGCTTACAGTCCTTGTAAAAAGTGCAATTTGTATTTTAAAACAGCAGTGGTAACATAAACTGCCCACATGTGTTACTGACAAATCAGTCAACATGCTTAGCACATTAAACATTTACGTAACCTTTGCTGTGAACCACACTGGTTCACTGAAGGGCATGTACGTCATAACTGCCTTGCATTGTTTCTACTCCCTTACTCCCACTTATTTAAGCCCAGACAAAATCCTCTCTCAGAAAAACCAGTAGGCACACAACAAACAGCAGGGACACTCAAAGTCATGACCTCTTTTATGTATATATATACATTTTTTATTTTCAACAATTTCACTTTCCATAGTCGCTGACTGATCAATTTCAATTCAGTTTATTTATGTAGCGCCAAATCACAACAGAAGTTGTCTCAGGGCACTGAACAGAACATTCACATACATAAAAAAGCCAATTACTAAAGGTTCTCCATCTAAGGAAGGAAGCCAGCAGACTTGTTAAATCTTCATTTCATCACAATCTCCCATCCTGATCAAGCACAAAGACAACAGTGGAAAAGAAAAACTCCCTTTTAACAGGAAGCAACCTCCAGCAGAACCAGGCTCAGGACAAGCGGCCATCTGCTTCGACTGGCTGGTTTGAGAGGAACAGGAAGGAGAAACAAACTAACACAGAATGGCAGGTCCAGGTGTAGGCACAGTATTGGAAGAAAGAAAAAAAAACATGTCAAGGACATAACAAAATGCAAATACAAAACAGATATATGCAAAGACAGAGTGAATAAATGTGATCAATTTATCTTCCAGCAGTCTAAGCCTATAGCAGCTATGGGATAACTCAGGAAACCCCAGCCAACCTTAACAATTAGATTTATCAGAAAGAAAA